CATTGAAGATCACCAAATTGGACCCCACATATTACCTCAACTTTTAACTAGTGCCGTTTATCTAGATTTTTAGGAAAATGTGTTGTCCGATCTGGTGGAGGACGTGCCCTTGGCGACACATGCGGTATTTACAAGTGGAACAAGTCGTCACCAATAGATTGAACAATAATTTTCCCTAGAGATGGTTTGGTCGCCAATGACCACCTCGGTCACCAGATCTAAATACGTGTGTTTTTTGGGGGTTCACATGAAACAATGAGTGAATTAGTGTACGCAGCTCAAATTTATACCTTCGAAGGGCTGTGTGTGCGAACGCAAGCTTCCCTAGCCCGAAGAGTACAAGAAGTGTGCATTGCCAACGAATGACCACATTTCGAACAATTTTTTATAATAGCAAGTATTGACCCACTAACATTGACAGTGATCTACCCTAATGTAGCGATAATTTTTTTGTCTTTACGCTGTTTACTTTCCAAAGTTGTTTCTTATGAATGATTGTAAACATCGTATTAAGACATAGGCGGTGACGGGTTTTCAGCCTCAATTTATTTTTAATTTTAACTCAGAAATGACGTGCTTTCGACAAAAGTTGGAATAACGAAAGTTGTTTCTTTTGACGAGTCCTATTAGTGGTTAAAATATTTGCTCGCAATCCTCAAACACCCTGTATACGAGGACTTTTGACGAACAAATGCACAAATTGGGCGACCTTGCAAAAATCACCGGAACCGTTACAGAATTCTAGACTATTATTAGACAGAATGCATCACATGCTCGAAACAAAACCTAACCTAGGTTAATAAGTAACCTAATTTTATCTATGGAATACCACTCGAAATATCTTTTTTTTAAATTATCTTGTCGCTAATTGAAGTCAAATGAGTTGCCCCAAAGCCACGCAAGGTTTTTTGGGGCACTGAAATTTTGGAAATAACTCAGGGACGAATCAACATAAATAATTCCAAGGTTGACTCACGTGTAATTTGTTGTGGCTGTCGACAACATCAACGGTTTGAACGGCAGTCTGGTATTTTTTTTAATAGGTTTGGCTTATAATAGGTTTTGACTGCGAGCTTGGATCGGGAGAACCGGAATTGCATCTGTTGCGAAGGGGAAATAATCTTTCAATAAATTAAGTTTAAACAGTTCGACAAAAATTAAGTCTTTTCCCTTACTTTTAACAACATTGTATAAAACATTGTAACAATCCTAAAAATATTAAATCTAGAAACTAAAAAACACTCAGGTATTTGAAACGAAAACATCATTATTATTATTATGATTATTATATTGTACACAGTTATTAATATCTATTACTTTGAATTAATATTAGGTATATGAAATTTTGTTTAAAAAGATAATTATTGTTAAACTTTATTTTCATATTATTGAAATGATGACAAAAGCAACTAAATATAATGTTGAAATTGGTATCTTAAACAATGTAATAATGCTCTCATGAATGTTGTCAATTAACACAGGTCATGTTTTTATAAATTTGTACAATAAACAGACAAATGGCAGGTTACAAGTTACTTACTATTCAAGAAGACATAACACTATAACTCGCTTTTTTTACAACACCATTCCCATTTAAATTATTTTTACTTTCTTTATTTAGTTGCTAGGAACTCAAAATACCGGATGACTGTAAATGATTGTGATTTTTTACCGTAAGTTGATGTCAAATTTAAAATTTTAGTTTGGCAACGTTGATTTTCAAATTCAAACGTCAAACTTTTGTAGGCAATTGTCATTTATTTGCGACAGGCGCCTGCTGATTTAGCCGTCACTTAAAACATTCTTGTAATAAATTATGAGAATTATCAATAATTCAGTGTTGGCAATAGGTTTTTTTTCTCATAAACATTAATAGTCACCCGGTACATAAACAGATGTTGTCATTTTAGTAATAGTAAGTATAAAAAAATGTATAATTTAACACTACTAATGTGATAAAATACTTTTACGGACTGCAAACTATCTTAGAAAAAAACTACATAAACAATTTTTATAGCTATGATAATTTTTTATTAATTTTAATATAGAATAAATTATGTATATATACAGTGTGTCCCCAGATTGACTTTACAAGAGGAAAAACTTTTTTCTTTGATTTTACCCCAAAACTGCAAAGGAAAAAAAGTTTTTGCTTTCCTTGAAACCAGCAAATCTGTAATAAAAACTTCATTATTCTAAATCAGTAGAAAGAAAAGTTCATTTTTCTCTTGATTTTAGAATAATTTTTCTCTGCTTTTTAAGTCTTATCACATTGGCGGTTTTATTATTTTGACAATGATGTCACTTTGACAAATGAGTTTACGCAAGTTAAATACAAAAATATTTGTGAAAAACATAATTTTAATAAATGCAACTCAAAGAAATATCTTTAGAATAAGAAACAAAGTCATTTTTAACAAGAATTATCATTATTTAATTAATAAATTAATTGTCAAAATAACAAAAAAATTAAATTACAATGTATAGTTGTCAAATAAATAAAACCGCCAATGTGGTAGTACTTAAAAACCAAAGAAAAATTAACTTTACACTGAATCAGAATAATGAAGTTTAAAGTAAAGATTTGTTTGTTTCAGGTGAAGCGAAAAATGTTTTTCTTTTGCAGTTTTGGCGTAAAATTAAAGATATTTTTTTTTCCTCTTGTAAACCTAATCCGGGGACATACTGTATATACCGAGTGTCCCAGGCCGGCTTGGATATAGAAAATTAACATGGAAAATTAGTTTTTATTTTTTCAGGCTGTAGGAGTAACAGAAATCAAAATCTGACTGATGGAGTTTGTAGTGCTTGAAGAGGGTTATCTTATCGATATTTTTGTCGATTCTCCAATTAACTTCATATAGGCGAAAACGACCGTCTAAAAATCGAAATTTGAATTTGCCGGGTTAGCGTTGCTAAGAAACGAACTATCAAGTCATTGTTGCCAAAGGAGAATTTGACACAATTTTTACTTGATAGTTCGTTTCTTAGTAACGCTAACCCGGCAAATTCAAATTTCAATTTTTCAAGAGCCGTTTTCGCCGAAATGGAGTTAATTGGAGAATCGACAAAAATGTCGATAAGACTGTCCTTTTCGAGCACTACAAGCTCCATTAATCAGATTTTAATTTTTGTTACCCCTGCAGCCGGAAAAAAATAAAAACTAATTTCCCACGTTAATCTCCTATATCCAAGCCTGCCTGGGAAACCCGGTATATATTTTTTTAGCTCATACGAGCGCTAATATTCATACGTGAGTTAGGCGTCGCAACTGGGGTTTTGCCCCATTCTTACAGCCGATTAAAAAGCGAATAATCAAGACACACACGAAATCACTGTGCGTACAGTGTCGGACAGTGAATTTCGTCCACCATTTTTCCGTAAATTCACAAACATTCACTGTAGTCTGTGCTTTATTGTCATGATAATTGACATTCAAATATGTATTGTCAAATTTAATCAAAATCGAACATGCCAGCCGTAAGTAAGTTTAATAAAATAAAAATTATTGAATTGGTACTAAACCTCAAGCAAGGTAAGACAAAGCAAAGGTAAAAAGTAGCAAGGAGCATCGAGCATTCTGTCAACATGACAAACGTTAATCAAAATTCTGAAACAAGGTTAGAAAAACCTAAAGGCTAATTTACACTTTTAAGATGTCAGAGAAATTGGGCGGACAAAATTCAATGTACGGCACTGTACGTTTAAATATCTGCAGTCACATAAATTTCACCCTGTATATTTTTTTAAACATTTTCAAGTATTATACAAAAATAAATATTTTTATTCTTCGACACTGTCAAAATTTACGGTTTTTCTCCCGTGTAAGGAAGTTTTAACAACTGTTTGGCATTTCTCAATACAAAACGTCAAATTATTTTTAACAGATTTAAAGCAAGTTTAAGCCTTGTTGACTCTAATTCGAAGAATAAAATGTTGTATTCCACTCGTTTGAGTGTAAATCGGACGCTTTATTCCACCTCGTGGATGGTAAAAATCCACTCGGTCAAATAAAGAAAGAGTCCGATTTACACTCAAACACGTCGAATAAATAACTATAAAAAAATCATGAATTTTTAAAATAATATTTTTTTTTTCAATTACATTTTTTTGAATGTATAATTACTCGTATTATCAATAGCGATAGTGCAAGCCAAATTGGTGATAATTTTGTCGAGTACACGAGACAAAATTAGAATTAATTTGGCATGCACGAGGGGTATTTTGCAGACTATTTCCAGAACAAAATTTACAAAAATAATATTTTTATTGAGAATTAAAAAAAAAATAAAAATATGTCAATCAAATCTTCCAAATTAAAACAATTCAACAAACATAAATTTTAGATGTATTTGAGACAATGAAGTTAAAAAATTTTGGTGGTACAACTTTAACTACAGTATTTTACAGTAATTTAGTTGTTTGTATCAGAGGTTCAAAAATTAAAAAAAAAACATTTTAGGCAATTTTATACATTTTCCGAAGCAATTCGTTATTTACTAACAATCAGCCAAGACAATAATAGAAACAAATTATCGCATTTACTTCGTCACTGGTAATTTCGCAGGAAATGACAGCAACTTTTTCGAAAAATCCTATAATTTCACTTTTATCGACAACTCTGAATCACATTATAAAATCAACAAAACAATCTAAGATGGCATTCAATATTTTACGGTTGTGATAAATACTAGGTGATCGAGGATAATTTGACCCGATCTGTAATTATGTAAATTAATTTCCACTCAAATTAATGTAACAATGTGTATAATCTACGCCCAGTAAAGTGATCATTCCCGATTGCGTAACTTCATTAAATTACACAATTACGTGGTTATTCAATTTCGAAGTTATCAATATAATCTAGAAATAAAGACACTCGTGGTAACAAGAAGTGTTTGAAAGCAACATCTGTCTAAAAGATAAACACCGAAGGTGATATGAACTTCAAAGGAATTTTTTTAGTGAAAAACCAGAGAAAAATCAATGCTCCAACATACCACATCCTGCATCCAGCTCTCCATTACCCAGTTATTGGCAATTAAACACATTAAACCAACAAAGTTAAAACTTAATCATCGAAAATGCTATAAAAGGGTGTTAAGATATCACAGAGTTGAAATTGGGTGTTTTTTTCACGATTCTCGAATCACAAACACGAAAACTGATGCCACTTGCTGTGAGGAAACTGGAAGACCCAACCACAATCAAGCCGCAACTACGAATGACCACGTGCTCGCAACGTTCACGAAATAAAACATGACTTCGGCTGGATTCGGACTTCAAAATTATCCTTGATTGTTACTAATACAAAAAAATTGACAATAACGGAACGAAACATTGACGAAATTAATGTAAACAATCACGAAAAAATAATGTGAATAAATTCCTAAATGATTATTATTTAAAAAATAAATATTCATTTATGAATAAATCTCAAATTATTTTTGTTGGTTTAGAATTGTTACAGCATGAGTGAAATTTATTATTAAATAAAAATATAATACGTACTTATGAGAAAATTATCTCATTTAAATCTCGAAATCCACCAAATTAGCTATCTTATCACTCAAGATAATAAACACGTAATTGCAATTTTTTCAATCAATTGAACACAATTTTGATAAATGCTCTTGTAGCATTATCTAATAGGAAAAATAATAACATTTTTTATGACTAAGCAATTCTAGGTCAATCAATTTTGTTCTAAAGATAAAATATTAAAAAAATCTTTAGGGTGGTTACGTGACAATTTTGATTTCAGACGCACCAGTTTATCATGAAAGCGCCCCTGAACTTTCATGTTATATCAACTTCGTTCAAGGCTAGAACAAGGAATAGATTACGATCTATTAATAAATACACGCGAAATTTTATTACGAAAATTGAATGATCAAAACACGGGAAAAAAATCAAATCCATGAAAAAAACAAAATTCAAAATTTTATTTTTATTGGACCACTTTTAAGCCTAATGGATCCTACCTGGTTGGGTATAAACAAGTTTAAAAACTTTCCTGGAATTATAAAATTCAATGTATCTTGTACCTACTTATCTATAATTTAAAACAAGTTATTATTTACGCCGAGTCCAAACTTAATAATTCTATTTGTTTGATTTTCACGAAACATATTTGTCCTAAAATTTAATAATTCCATAAAAGATAAAAAATCACAGCATTATAATAACAAATGGAGAGAAAAAAGTACAGACTGCGTTAGCATTTTGCATAATATCTGCATTTATTTCTGCATTGCACTCTCATTGGTCATGCAATTTGATAATTTTCACATGTTGTTGTCTGATCAAATTAGAAAAATAAAAGGTGTCTTTTATCAATTATCAATAATTTGTTACTTTATTCCCCCTTTAAACCGAATTGACGTTAATGTTTTTTACTGTTATTTTTTAAGGTCAATTAAATTGTCTATATTTTTTATTTTATAAATGTAGTTTTTAGAGGACGTTAACAGAAAATTAAACACACTAAAGATCGAATCGTCAATGATTTTTATATAAATATTTTTGAACAGAAAGGCAGTTGTGCAAACATCTGTTATCTGGATTATTGATTTTGATTATTTACAAATGCAAATAAATTCCAAAAATAAATGTTTCTAGGCAACGCGTCATTTTTGCCATTTTTATAAGGTCGAAATAGAATTTATATTGAAATCAGAACAGTGAAAAACTGCACCGTTTTATCTCATAAAATGTTCATTTCAACTAAACAGAATATGTTTTCCTATACTAGATTACATATCACCTGATCCGCGGCAGATTTTCGCTATAATATGTGTTAAATACAAATTACGTAATTGTATAAAAAGTCATTCTCATTCTATTTAATTAAAACATCAGTGATAAAGTCTTTTTGTTGTATCAATGTATAATATTTAAAATTCTAAAGTAAATTTGCTTAACATTCGAGCAAATTCATTACGTACCCACTTCGCATTGAAAACATGTAAATAAGAAAAACCGCTTATCTAAATTTTCACATTTAATTATAGAAATAGCTTCGTTACATCACACCAAATTATGTTAAAGAAAAAGAATAAAATTCTGCGTAGAATAGCTGAGTTATGCTCAACATAAAAATGCAATAATCGATCACTATTAAATTCATGGCCTATGACAATATAGGTTCTGTGTTGTCTACCTTGAAATATTAAAAAGGTTTACCAAGTTCAATGTCAAGGCTAAACTGCAAAACAAGTAATACATACAAAAAAAAGATTTTTATCAATTTCGAAAAATGCAAATTATGCAACTATTTATACACATGTGTCCACCAATTGTATAAAATTTAGGGCCGTGCAGAAATGATCGAATTACATCAAAGTTACGTATTCAAACGTAATTAAATTAACACATTCCAACTCACAAATGTTTATAATCACAATTTTCTACCAAATAATTAAAATTTTTACAATATTTAAAAATGGAGTTTAGTAAATATTCACACTGTAGATGAAAAAATAGACAATCGGCTTACTTGACTTACCCTGACTCGAGATCGTATATCGCCACAACAGTCACAAATTTAAATATCACTAAAATGCACGACATAAATTTTTAAACTAACCTTTCACAAACACTTACGAATACAATTCATATTTTTGTTGCAGTAACATTTATTAACAAAGCTGCCATTTTGTAAATTCCAAGTCAGACAAATGACATGTCGCGTCATCTACTGACAGTTTGCTGAAGTAACTAAATTCAATTTCCGCCGCCTAATTTAAAACAATCAAATTGTGTTGAAACAAAACAACAGTTTCCGTTTGTTATGTTTACTGTTTGTCAGATAAAGTCTTTTGGAGGAAAATGAAGCAATTTTTCGAGCATCTAGAAGGAGTCAAGTCATGTTGGTGGCCCTACATTGCCACTTTTATCATTTTTGTAATAGGAGCAATTAGGTATTGTTTGATTTTTTTCTTGGATTTTTGCGGAGTCTCAATTGCAGGGCGTACATTGGGGGTGCTCACTGTCCGACTAGAAATAGAATAGATGGAAAAATTGTGGTTATTACAGGAGGGTCAAGCGGAATTGGGCTAACTACAGCCAAAGAACTTGCCAAAAAAGGTATTATTTTTTAATAAAATTAACACAAATTTAGCATAATTAATGCAATTAATTGCTACGTTACTGTCCAATTTAAAAGATCAAAGTTTCACGAAACAATTTTTTGTGTTTCAGGGGCCAGATTAATTTTAGGTGTTCGAAACGCAGAACGAGGCAAAAGAGCCCTCGAATATCTCCTCCAAGAATGTCCCGAAACCGATGCCATCATAAAATTGATTGATTTAAACGATTTTGTCAGTATTCGAGAATTTGCTAATCAAATTAATCTTGAATATGAAAGAGTCGACATTTTGATTAACAATGCCGGTATCATTTTCCACCCATTTCGAAAAACAGTGGACGGCAATGAAATGACAATAAGCACGAATTATTTCGGTAATACTCAATTTTTAGCATCGAAGCAAACTAGAAAGAATTTCAGGTCCATTTTTACTAACACATCTCCTTCTTAATTTATTGAGCAAATCGGACAACGGCCGAGTCATCAATCTTTCAGCAGTGGCACATTTGAGAGGAAAAATTGATTTGGATGATTTAAATTCTGAGAAGAGATTTGTGGAAATTGAGGCTTTTAGTCAAAGTAAACTCGCTTTGACTATGTTTACGAAACATATGGCTTCGTTATTGAAACGTAAAAAATCTCGATTCTGTTAATTCTGATTTAATTGAAAAATTATAGACACGAATATAACTTTCAATGCTGTAAATCCAGGCCTTGTGCGAGGAACCCGACACTTGCGTAACTCTCGAATTACAACTTCCTTTTTCACGAAATTGTCAGTGTGGCCATGGATGTGGCTTTTTATGAAAACACCTAAACAAGGCTCTCAGACTCTTCTCTATGTTGCTCTTGATCCCTTCCTTAAGAATGTTTCAGGATGTTATTTCAGGTAGGTAAATACAACAATTTAACTGTTTTATATAATTTTTTTCAGCAACTGTGAGATTCAGAAACCCTCAGATCTTGTAAATGACGTGGAATTGTCGGAAAAATTGTATAAAAAAACTTGTGAAATTGTTAAAATCGACGGCGAAACTATTGTGAAAAACATCACAGGAGAAGAGGAGAAAGTGGAATAAAAACTTCCATAATAAAATTATGAAATTTATTTGTTTCTTAAGCCCTGTTAAGTCTTGTCCATTTTTCACTCACAGCCCAAAGCCACGAAGCAGTTGCTTCGTCTTTGGCGGCTTCACTGACTTCAACTTCTTCACAATTACTAAAACAAAAATTCAATGCTTTGTTTTGAAAAATCGTTAATACCTGAAATATGTTCCTGTTACTTTATCTAATGTAGAACTTAACGCTGCGTAAACCACTGTGTACGCCCCCTGATGCGGATTTTTGATAAATGGCCAAATTATTGGTTTAATTAAAATAGCAGCTAACCAACTGTTGAAAAAACTCATGTGTCTGGTGATTTCAGTATTGACTATTCCAGGATGAACTGCATTCACAGTTATGCCAGTGCCTGAAAAATTATTAGAAACAAAAAAACTAGAATAATTTCGTTACCTTCCAATCTTTTTGCTAATTCTTTAGTAAATAAAATGTTGGCTAATTTGCTTTGAGCATAAGCAACTGCAGGATCATAATTTTGTTCACTATTCAAATCCTCTTTATTTATTTTGCCTTTTTTGTGCGCAACACTTGAGACATTAACAATTCTACTAGGAGCTGATTCCTTTAAAAATAAATATTAAATTATATAATTTCAAACGGAAATTTACCTTTAATCTGTCTAACAACAAATTAGTTAACAAAAAATGCCCCAAATGGTTCACACCTAACTGCATTTCAAACCCATCCTTAGTTTTAGATTTTGGCGTCCTCATAACCCCCCCATTATTAATCAAGATATCCAGACGTGGTTGCTCATATTTGAACTGTTTCACAAACTCTCTAATTGATTGCAATGACGCCAAATCACATTTTCTACAATAAACATATTTATTTTTAGTTTCTAAAACTATCTCAGCCCTAGCCTGAAATAATCAAATAAAACCACACACAATTTAGCAATTTTAAATTACTTCTTCGCATCGTTTCAAATCTCGACAAGCCATATACACTTTAGCTTTGCGTCTTGCGAGATCTCTCACTGTTTCTTTACCAATCCCAGTGTTAGCCCCTGTGACAATCACGACTTTGTCTTCTGCCGAAATAGAGGGTTGTAATTTAGGACCCCCGGTCCATTCTCTGCAATTTTGTGTTAAAAGGGGCGAACCGGTGAGTTTGACTATACTTAATGAGACAAGTTAAGCCAAGAGCGGCAGCTGCGGTGCTCGCATAGAAAAGGGTTTTCGGGATTTTAAAGTTGAATATCTTAATAGGTTGTGAAGTACCTTTTTTAAACATTTTTAGTCTGTTGTAGGTTAGACTGACATAACCTAAATCTCAGTGTCATTTTTTAGGGTATTTTGCATTGCCAACCACTTTACCAACCCAACAGTTAGGAGGGCTTTTTAAATGCAATGTTAAATCTGAGTTTTAGATAAACGCAATTAAAAATATAAATATCTTTATTATTTAATTAACAAGGTTGTTTATCTTGTTTTTTGTGGCCTTTCAGCGACTGTTGTATTTCTTCGAGTGTTTTTCCTTTGGTTTCTGGTACGAAATGAAGGGCAAGTATTGCAGATAGAAAACAACTAACCGAAAAAAATAGAAAAGGTGCAAATAGGCCAAACGACGTGTCTAATACATGAAACAGTTTAGTTGCTCCACTGACCAACAAAGCAAAAACAATATTCAATACAAATAAACCTTTTCCTTTAATACTTGCTGAAAAAAGTTCACCCATCATGAGAGTGGGGACAATACCAAGACCAAACGAGTAAAATATCACATATAAAATCATCCCAACTAAAGGAATCCAATTTACGATCTGGACATCAACTTTATCTTCATAAAACTGTTCAAGTATAAAGTAAATAGCTTCACATAACAATACGGAACCGCACAATATCAAAGATAAGAAATAGGATCGTCTTCGACCGATTCTATCAAGAGTAAATCCTGCACACATATTGAGCACTGCACATAAACCCATAAAAATAATCGAAGAGGTGCTTGCAGAAACGTCACCACCCGATTTTAGAAAAATATACTGAGTGTAGACTGCAAATGAGGAGATTCCTCCCAACTGTTGGGACGCTCGGAGAAAAACTGCGGCATAAAGAGCCTTTCTGTTACTCACAATTGTAAAAATGTCCTTCCAAGTGGCCGATTCCGACATTTGTCGTGCAACATCACCTTTGAGTTTATTCAATTCCTCCTCAACGTTTTGTTTTCTTCGCAATTTTTGCAGAGAGTGTCTTGCATCCTCAGTCCGGTTTTTGATCAAGTAGTAATAAGGCGTTTCGGGCATGAAAATAAAAGTACAAAAGAAAAAAATCGGAAAAATCAGACAAATGTAAGCAGTCATCACCACCGAGGTATAACTACCCACAATATTTATCGTTAATTGTCCGATGTAAATCAAAAATGTCATAAAGTTGCCCCAAGTGCCTCGCACTTTCGGTGTGGTGATTTCGGCGACATAGATTGGTAAACATGCAAAAAGGCAAGCGTCTCCCACTCCTGCTAAAAAGCGAGCGATATAGAAAATGTAAACTGATTTTGCGACTGATATTAGGACCAAAGAAGCAATTTGAGGAATTGCGATTAGGATTAAAGTGTGTTTTCGGCCTATTTTATCCGTAAGTTTGGAAAATATGAAAGAGGAACAGATGGCACCCATTGGGGGCAAAACTGTGAAATATGACGCTTCATCTAACGAAATATCGTAATTTACTTTATCTTCAGATATCTTCGGAATCGAAGGTGACGACCATGAGAAGAGCATCCCGGCATTGAATGCTGATATACATGCTGAAATCACACTATTACCACATTTTTAGTTTTTGCTTTTAACTTACATAAAAAAATTGCAAGGATTTGATACCAGTCGCCCCCTTTTTCATGTCTGTCTTCTTGTACATCGAATTTAGCACTTTTTACTGTTATACTTCCAGACATTTTTAATTACTTTTAAAGTTTAATATAAATTGTAATGTTACCGAGTGCTGTTTGCGAGCGTCATTCTTTATCACACTGAACTTGTGAATGTTCGAAATGTTTTAATCGCGTAATGTTAAATAGATAAACAATGAATTTGCTCAAAATTTGGAGTAAACGAGTGATGAAATTATTGCTGAGAATTTAGCTTGGTTGGTTTTGGCATTTAAGGGATTTTCAGGATTTGGTTTGCTTGTCTAATGATTAAAGTGCTTTATCTTATGCATTTTTTGCGTGATAAATTTGTAGAATCAGTTGAAATTCGAAATAATTAAATTAACAATTAAAAATCTTTGGCAAAATTATTTAATTAATTTAATTGTTTGCAAATGACAAATAGTTGTATATTAATTATCTCAAGGTCAGACAGTGTTCATACATTCTTCAAAATGTAATTTATTGTGTCTTATTAATACATAATAAGTAGAGCTATTTTTAACATAAATAAGGACTATTAGTACGGTTTAAATTACAACTTGTGTACTTGGGTTTTATATAATTTTTAGATAACGTTTATGTAAACAAGCGTAAAACAAAGATATAATGTTAGGAAAAACGTTTGTTGACAAAAAATACTACTAATGATTTTGGTAAACAATTTTTTCTAAAAAATCTCTTGCTAAATAAGAAAAATATTTTCTAATAATTTTGGTCGAATAAAATTGAGATAAAAAAAAACGGGAAATGTCAAAAACATTTAGTGTTGTTTATCAATTTTTCCAAAGTGTGCACGTGTTTTATTAAAAATAAGTTAAAATAATTTGATGGCATGCCAGTTAAAAAATAGATAGGTTATATTTGAACAAAATATGTTTTCGAATTTAGTAACAAACTGAATGACTTAGTAGTTAATTATTTGTACTTTTAGGGCATCCCAAACTCACCATGCGTTTCACGGTGCGCTCATTTACCCACTTTTTATTAATCCCTCCGATGGTACAGTTGGAGACAAAATACTTTGGTTGTCAATGTCACTTGAGTGACATTAAATTGTAAAGTATGCTTTAGGACTGTTAACCTTATTTTTAGCTACTGTCAATCATAGTTGACCATATTTTTGATAGAAAAATATAATAGTTGTCATTAATTTGAAATTGTTTAAAGTGTCAGAAAAGTGACGACCAAAGTATTTTGTCTCCAACTGTACTTTTTCTCACTCTAAATTCTATCGCTAAATTCATAATTTTCCCACCTTTTCCAGCTGAACGACGATTTTGGCTTCCTCTACTTCACTTAAATGTAATGTAAAAAGTATAAATTAAAAGAAATATTTTTGACAGGTATTGTCAAACTAATAATTGACTGTATATTGTCGTATCAACAAGAAATAGGTTGCCATAAATTTGGTTAGGTTGGTTTTTGGTGACAAACAAAAGATATCGTAACCCATGTCAAAATGTAGGTTAAGTCACCTGTTAGCTTCGACCATATATATTAATATATGGTCGAAGCCTGTTAGCCTATATGGATAATTCAACTGATAGTTGACACAGTGATGCCAGATGAGATGAAGCGCTTGTCCCTAGATTGTAGCTTCTAAATTCCCTAGAACTCCCTAAACTACTTAAAAAATTAAAAAGATACTATTTCGTAGGTCTATTTTGTTGAGGTAATATAATATAAATACAACATAAAAATGTGTTAACTCCAAACAACAAAAAATCAATAAATAATATAACAATAAATTAAAATAAATTTTACTAAAGAAATAAAAAAAATAAAATACAAGTCAATTAAAACAAATTCAAATAAACGTGTATATTTAGATACCTACTTAATTTTTATTTATAAATTATGGGATTTCATTGATTTTAAATATTTGTCTAAAACATTAAATGAACTGCAATAATTAGTAAACTTGGCAACGTGAAAAACCCAAACTGCTTTTAGTGCACTTTATATCTTGTTCTTTTTTTTGTCTTTACACATGTAACTACAGAAAATACATTTTTGGTTTCCGCGTTACTATGTGCTAAACTCACATTAAAAATTGTTGTAATTTTTGAAACTGCGCCAGCGGAGTGAATAAAATTGGGATTTTCACTAAAAATGTAAAAAATCTCTAGATTATTAAGAAAAATTGAAAAAGATCCCTTTTTCCCTTTTTGTTAAAAAAATCCCTAGAATCAGGGAAAAATTCCCTAATCAGGCATCACTGAGTTGACAGCAGGTTGACAGAAAACGTCAACCGTTACCAACAAGGGGTAATCAATCCCAAGCATTCAAAATTACTTCTGAAAATTCTAGTTACAATCAACATGAAAATCGTAATTTTCCTAAAAATTCAAATCCTAGGTGGTAATTTCTTGTTGACAAATCACTAAGTTTTTTTGTGTACAATTGTGAGTATTAAATTTTTGTAGGTATAATGTAATTTTGAAACTTCATCTTTTTGTCAAAATTTTTTTTTTGTATTTTGTCTGTTTCAACTTTCTTTAAAAATGAATATAAATGTCAACACCACGCCAAAAACTAATTAACAAACATTTTATTGTGTCACAAGTTTCTTATTTCGACAAAGTGAAAATAATTACCATACTGGAGAGTGGATTTTCTGAAATTAAGGTGGCTGAGCAGTTGGGACTCGTTAGAAGTTCCGTCAAATTCAAGAATGCTATTTAACATTCACATTTTCGTTTCACAAGAGAGCATGTTAGGCAATGACATTGACTACCAAAATTTAATGCTCGCAGTTGTACATTTTCTTTTTGTAATTTTTAAATCATAGTCATTCTAAAAAAAATTGTCATAGGGAGTTCCTATAAAAGAATAAAAACTTCTTATGACTCAATAACTAAAACAAATATTTTGAAAAACGATCAAATTTTTAAAAAGATACATAATTTATAATGCATTATTTCTTTGGAAAGTAAATAATTTAATCAAAAAATCGTTTGATTCAAAATTTTTGTTCAATCTACATATACAGGGTGAATATAAAGTATGGAACCAAGCGGTTTTATTTTTAATCATTTACCTCCAGAAAATAATAATTAATATAAATTAAAATAATATAATAAATGTGATCGTATTTTCAAAACGAAATTTTGTTTTGTTTTTGAGTTATGCGATTTTTTTTGTCAAAATTGCAATTTATGTAAAAAAAAAATTTTGAAAAAATTAATTATAAAGCATATACTTGTAATCCTTAGAGTATAGCTTTTATGAGAAAAATGCTTTTATACTGGGTTGCCATTTAAAAAAAAATATTTTTTTGTAGAACTCAAAAACAAAAAGAAATATTGAAAAATTTTATTCTTGTTAAAACATCACATTTTTATAGTACTTTATCACTCATCAATTAGTTTTTCAAAAAATAAATAGTTTAAGCAAAAAACGTTTGGTTCCATACTTTTTATTCACCTGGTATGTATAAATGCTTATTTTTTTTATTAACTCTAACCATGGCTACGTTCCGTGCATAATAAAATACTGTTTTAATTATTTTTTAAATACTTTCTACATTTACTTATAACTGTTGCGAATTTAGATTAGATAAAAAATGTGGTTATTTTTTGGTATAAAATACTAGAAAGATTTATTTCATGTCTTGATCTTTACAAAGTAAGTTGTTTTAACATTTGACAGATTTTTTCTTTACTTAACTATTTATAATTTGCAGCTTAATTGTTATTTATTGCTGTATTTATTTTAAAGATTTTGTTAATTTTTTGTTTTTTTATTTTGCGTGAAGAAAAAGATAAAAGTAAATTTAATTTAACAAAATTTATTTATTAACTCTGAGTTTAAATAAAATGTCAATATTTGAATAGACAGATTTTTTAATAAAATAAAAAAGATTTGTATTAACATTGTTGTTCATCTTCTTTTGTCCCTTTCAACAATTGTTGAATCTCTCCCAGCGTTTTCCCTTTAGTTTCTGGCACGAAACGCACCGACAAAATTGTCGATACAAAACAACTCACCGCAAAAAATAAAAACGGTGAAAACAACCCAAACGATGTATCAAGCAAATGAAACAACTTGGTTGCCACACTCACAAAAAGCCCCAACACGATATTCATTAAGAACAAACCTTTTCCTTTAATACTCGCCGAGAAAAGCTCTCCTAGCATTAAAGTAGGCACAATACCAAGTCCAAATGAATAAAATACAACATAGAGTATCATCCCAACCAGTGGAATCCAGTTAAAGATTTTGACATCAAATAAATCACTGTAAAACTGCTCGAGCAAAAAATAAACAGATTCACACAACAACACTAAACCACACAATAACAGCGATAAGAAATAAGATTTTCTACGACCGATCTTGTCGAGAGTAAAAGCTGCAAACATGTTCAAAATCGCACACAGACCCATGAAGATGATCGCGGAGGTACTGGCCGAGACGTCGCCGCCCGATTTGAGGAAAATATACTGGGTGTAGACTGTAAAGGAGGAAATTCCGCCCAGTTGTTGAGACGCTCGGAGGAAAATTCCGGCAAATAAAGCTCTCCGGTTGCTCCTGATGGCGAAAACATCTCTCCAACTCCCAGATTCAGACATTTGTCGTTCAATATCGGTTTTTAGTTTGGTTAACTCCTCTTCGACGTTCTCAACTCGTCGAAGACGCTGTAAAGAGACTCGTGCGTCCTCGACGCGGCCTTTCATCAAGTAGAAATAAGGAGTTTCCGGCATAAAAATAAAAGTGCAAAAGAAAAAAACTGGAAAAATAAGACAAATATAAGCCGTCATGGCAATTGAGCTGTAGCTCCCTATAATATTAATTGACAATTGGCCAACATACATGAGAAAAGTCATGAAATTACCCCACGAACCTCGCACTCTTGGGGTGGAAATCTCCCCCACGTAAACGGGTAAACAGCCAAAAAGGCAAGCGTCGCCCAAACCCCCTATAAATCGAGCCAAGTAGAACACGTAAATAGATTTTGCCGTGGCGATCAAACTCAGGGCAATTATTTGAGGAATTGTGATCAAAAGTAGAGTATATTTACGCCCAATCGTGTCATTTAGTTTTGCAAAAAGAAATGAGGAAAGTATAGCCCCGATTGGGGGCAAAACTGTGAAGAATGAGGCTTCATCTAATGATATATCGTAGTTGGTTTTATCTGCTACGATTTTTGGAATTGCTGGGGAAGGCCAGGAAAAAATCATACCGTCAGTAAATGACGAAATGCACGCTAAAATCGGTTATTAAATATTGCCAAAGTTTTAAGCAACATACCCAAAAAAATTGCAAGGATTTGGAACCAGTCCTTTTCTTCCTGCTTTTTGCCTCTAGACAACATTTTAAGTGAGGAGTTTTTTAATTCGATTTTAGACTCAGACTGAATTTGGTGGGACATTAAACATTATTAAATAAAGTAAAATAACAATGGGATTGCTGTAATCTAATAAATGAGAGAGTTGTTGCTGGGGGTTTGCTGTTTAATTTTGACTTAAAGTACAAAGTGTTTAATATGTTATTCAACTTTATCAAATTTCTATTGTTTTAGAATTCATAAATACAGGGTGTCCCAGCAAGTTGAATAAGTCCATTAGTGACCTTTAAATAGTAAAATTTAAAAAAAAATTGAATAGAACATTGATAGATACTAATCTAGTCCATCGCCTAAAATTATTTTCAACTATACAGCGTGTCTCAAAAATAAGTTACAAACTTGTGTTTTTTTAAATGAAACACCATATGTTTTTGATTTAGCTTAGTTTTAAAAATAAGACGGTTTTTTTGACAAAACATGCACTTTTTAAAAATGTATTACACAAAAACTAAGATATCTAGAAATATTTTTTTTACTACAGCAAAGAAGAAAGTACAAGCTATAAGGTTGTAACATTTTTTTAGTGTGTTGCATTTGCAAAGATAAAAAAATGAAGGCGTTTGTTAAAAGTTCAATAACTTAAAAAAAATAAGTGGAACACCCTATTTATTGATTTTGCATTGAAAAGATTATTAAATTGGCTTACTAAAATTATTTGCTTTTAGGTGTTTATAATCAATTACTAAATAGATATTTAACGTTAAACATTAAAAAAAAAAAATTACTATTGTTTCAGTAGTCAAAAAGTGCACAGTTGAACAAAAGATATAAGAAATATTACTTAATAATCACATTTGTATTAAACTGAATGCATTATTCTTTATTTTTAAAATAAAATAATTTGAATTTCAGTATTTATAACCACTTTTACAATCTCTGGATAAATCAACAGTCATCCATGGTGGAATTACTATGGTTGCCATAGTATCAACAATGATAAGCATTGTTGCTACAATTAACATTGAATGTTAAATATCTTTTTATTTATCAATTCTAGACATTAAAAGTTTATTTTTTTAGATAGACAATTTATCAGTCTATTAGATGCAAAAATAAAAAAATTGGGTGTTTCATTTAAATTTTTTAAGATATTTAACTTTCAACAAACTTCTTAATTTATTAATCTTTACAAATGCAAAACACTAAAAAATTGTAACAGCTTTAAATTCTGTACGTTTTTCTTTGCAGAAGTAAGAAAAAAATGTGTTCTAGCTGTCTTAGTTTTTGTGTAATAAATTTTTAAAAAGTACATGTTTTCGTAAAAAAATGTTTTATTTCTAAAACTAAGCGAAAAAGTTTGGCGTAAAAACATTGTTTTAAAAAGCTACATCCAAAAATGCAAAGAAACATGGTGGTTCATTAAAAAAAAACACAAATTTGTATCGTAACTTATTTTGGGACATGCTGTATGGTTGAAAGTAATTTTAGGTGATGCACTAGATTAGTATCTATCAATGTCCTATACATTTTTTTTAATATCACCATTTAAAGGCTAGTAATGGACTTTTTTAACACGCTGGGACACCCGGTATATTCAGTTCGTTTTTTTTTTAATAATAATTTTTGCTTTATTTTATTTTATTTAATCTTTTTAAATGACCACCTACCTGTATTGGTAAAACCCGACTTCCTTCAGGTAAATTATTAAAAAAAAAACAAAAAAAAAATGATTCCCTTAATAAAGTTGTTAAAGACAAAAAAATTGTCATTATCCCGAAGGTTCAGACATCCGATCGAAAGATAGATTTAGTAAGTAAATTAAAGTAGATAGAGTAAGTAAGAATTTAAAGACATTTCCAGCGAGGTTTGTATATCTATTTTATTTACAATAACATTTTCTTTAAATAATAAAAATGAATGTTTTTTTCAAACACAATTCACCAAAATGACGTAGTTGCTTGCGTTTTTGACATTCAATAGACTCGTAATCTAATAAATTACTTCCTGACCAAGAAATGTAATGACATATTTCCCAACTTCCAAATGGTTAGCAATTGAGATAAAATAATAATAATGAGTTAATCAAAAAGTACTTATTTTAAAAGTAGAATACTAATCGATTATGGTAATTAATTTCGGAACAATTAAGGAACACAATGAAATGAACAAGATTGTAGAAACTTTGTTTAGTCTAATCTTAATTGTTATCAATGTCACCCTAAAATATAATTTTTTGAACATAGCAACAGCGTTGGAAAAATTTGCTCTAATCAGATTTCAAATAATAACTGTTTAAGGTTTTACCAATATCAAAGAATGTATAAAATCGAATCTAGTTCAAAAGAAAATTTTGCAACACTAATTCTATTGTAAAACTCTTTGATGGCATCAAAGAACTGAATCGTTGTTTTTTAATTTAATTTTATTACAATTAAATTCAAAGAGTTTTTCGCAACCCGTGTAAAAGAGTCGTTCAAGTGTAAATTATTTCATCTTTGGAGATAATGATTTGATTTTTTTTACACGAATCGATAGCAAGTGGAGGATGTGTTTCTCAATTAGTACAAGACCATGCCGTGGCAGAGTCGTTTCTATGCAAATTTAATTAGGTACTTTTGTCGGTGGTGGAGGTGAATCTGGAGCTTTTAAATTTGTCTCCTAGTTTCAAAGTGTTGAAATGTAAATTTTAGTTGGGTCCCAAACGGATCTGTTTTCCTTTCCATTAAACTCCACTAAAATAATAACAAAGCGATCGTAAATTACAGAGGAATTGTTTCAAGGAACCGGACGTTGTGGTGAACGGAAGATTTGGAGCCAACGGAATGGGAACAAAGTCCTGCGAGTGTGTTTGAAGGGTCTGAATATATTGATTATTTTGCAAGTTGGCGAGGAATTTTAATAGTGTGATGGGGGAAATGTTGCAGGAATTTTCTTTGCGTTTCAGACTACTTGATAAACCTGGTAATTAGACAGGGCGACAAAAAAGTCATGTCGTGACAAATTTTATACCATTTTGTTCGTCTCAGTAAGACAAATCAAATGCACAAAAATTTTTTTTTTCTAATTTAAAGGAATTTAAAATACTTTAACTTTAAAAAATCATTACTCAATAACTATCACGCCGATTTTTTTCAAATACACTCACCGGCATAAAACACGATCCATATTTTATTTTCTCGAAAACGTTTTCGATTTTTTTTTTGATCAGAGAACTTTTAAACAGAAATAAGATATATTTCCAACTATTGTTCAAACCAACAAACAAAAAAATGAGCGCGCGATAAAATTTTGAGGATTTTTTAAAACTTTTTTTCCACTTTTCTTTTATCGTGATACCTATTTTAATGCCCTTCGTCATTATTCTTGTCATTTTTTGAAGCACGTACAAGTAATTTAGCCTTCTAAAAGTAAATATGGTTTTAAATCCAACGGACGCGGCTAGAGCAATTGCTCTATTTCAAGATGGTAGCTCGAGTTTCTGGAGTTTCGAGCTGCAGAGAGCTGTAGAACGGTTTCGCGAAACTGGGGGCTACACTAGGAGAGTTGGATCAGGAAGAAAGCGATGTACCACAGATCGAGATGATCGTTTTCTCACACTTCAAGTATTGGGACACAACAGCTGGTCATGCTCGTAACTTGTTAGAAGAGGTAAGGGGTGTGACAATAAGAGAAAGAACAGTAAGAAGAAGACTCAAGGAAGAAAGATTAGTTGCAAGAAGACCAGCAAATGGCCCCAAATTGACCAGAGAGCGTCGAGTCGAGCGACTACGTTTTGCTCATGAACATGAGAATTGGGATGTTGTTGATTGGAGCCGAGTTCTTTTCTCTGATGAGTCGAGGTTTTGTCTTCACTCTCCAGATGGACGACAAAGAGCACAGTGCAATATTGTCCAAGACTGAGTTTTAGAGGAGGCTCTATTATGTTCTGGGGTGGCATTAGTTTGGAAGCTTGTACCGAATTAGTCATTGTAAACAGAGGAACAATGACTGCTGATAGGTACATCAGAGACATTCTGGAACCCTATGTTGTGCCTTATGCACCATTTATTGGTGAAAATTTCATTTTTATGCACGATAATGCACGTGCTCACACTGCTCGCATCGTGAACACGTATCTAGATGAGGTTGAAATCAAACGTATGAGATGGCCAGCGCGAAGTCTTGACCTAAATCCCATTGAACACATTTGGGACATGGTGGGAATAAAGGTTCGACGCAGACTTCCTGCTCTTGCAACTTTGAGAGAGCAAAGTGTGGCAGTAACCCAAATTTGGGAAAAAATTGACCAAAGAGCGATTGAACATCTTATTGAAGAAATGCCAAGAAGAATGGCAGCTGTAATTCGTGCAAAGGGAGGCAACACACAATATTAAACTTCAGTTTAGGTCTTAACTCTTTATTAGGTATTAATTCAGGATTTAATGTTTTCGTAAAATTTTGTATTTTTTTTTCATTGAAAAAAATAAAATAAAAGAAACTGTTATATATATAATTTAAGCTGGTTTTTGTTTATACTTGCTTTAAAATGTGTAATTTAAAGTTCTCAAAAAATTGCTGCGTTGTAGAACAAGGATTAGTTGAGAAAAATTAAATAAAATTAATGGATCGAATTTTGTGCCGGTGAGTAAAAACCATTCTAAAGGGATGGACTTGCCCTTTAGAATGATATGCAATTTGAAATTGAATATTGGCAAACTTTTCTTCGAACAGTGTTCGAAGAAGATCGAAGTAAATCGAAGTAATCTAAGAAAAACCCTACGAGTAATTTTTTTTCTTCGTCACCATCGTGTAGAGCATCTTTTTATTAGTAAGAATCCAAATTTTTAAAATAATATACCGAGTAGTTTTTAAAATATGATTTTTTGAAGTTAATGTTTGCTATTCAGGTATTGCGCCATTTAGGAGTAATGCATGTTAATCTTACTTAAAATTGCATTTTTATAAAAGTATTTGTTTTAAGACTCTTCTTTTGCTTAAAAATTGTCAATTGCACCTTCTTTGTTCTAATTAGAATAAACAAAATCTGTTTCTTTACTTAAAAAAAATAAAGAGTACCTGCGTACTAATTAAAGCAAATAATGAGT